GCCAGGGGACTTGCAATGACCTCAGCCAGTTCCTTTAGGACTCTAGGGTGGAGATCGTCCGGACCGGCTGACTTGAAAACGTCCAGCCCCTCCAGAAGTTCCCTAACTAGTTCCTCACTAACCCTTGGCCCAGGTGTGCCCCCCCTGGGGCCCGAGGGGGGCCCAGCAGGGAGGTGGCTGTTTTGGTCCCTACTTAGGCAGACTTAGGATACGACCAATTCCCTGCGCTTGCAAGGGCTGGACATTGGTGGATCCCCTCTTCTTATCATCCTTTGTGCTTTTAGGGATAATTTCTACTTCGGGGTTTGGGGGAGACGGATGTGATGTAGAAGGAGGGTGGCTGTGGTGCTCTGAGTTGAGTTCCTATCATGGCAGAGCTATGCCTCGGGGGGGTGGGCTGTGCAGAAGGAAGGATAACGTGGTTGTAGGACGGGACGGGGTGTTGGGGTGGGGATCTACCACCAACAAGCGTCCACCCCGTGGTCCACTGTGCTGCAGTTTGCCCATTCGAAGCGCTCCCCGCCATGGCATCCTCAGTGCACTGGCTTTGTCCACACAAGCGTCTTTATTTGGTTCTCAGGAAGGATAATACAGACCGTACATACGTAACACGAGGCGCTTGACAGAAGGCCGTACAAAAATATGTCAACAATATCATATCGTCTAGCTACGCGAAGGCAAACGGAGTACAGTTCGCGGCACGTGGGTAACATAAAGGTATGGCTTGGGCAGCATGGTCCTGGCTTCAGTGCTGGCAGCCTCAAGGGGCAGGGGGTCTTGCCCCTGACTCCGGGGAGACTCCCATGGAGGGAGTAAAACCCAGTTAGACTGAGGTTTGGCCCGGTGGGAGCTGCAGGCGTCCAACGGAGCAGGTGCCCGCTCGATATGGAAGTGTGTCGGGGGCTTGGCAAGCGTGCAAAGACAACAAGGCCCTGCCCCAAAGGGCATCTCTTCTGGCTTGGAGAGATGCCCAGGGTGAGATACGCCAGCGGGGAGGAGTGTCAGGCAGATGGTGTAGTGGGGAGGCACCTAGACTTCTCCTGGACTCAGAGGGGGACTTTTCTGCACCCCCAGCACACATTTGGTCCTGTAAGTGACTACAACCCCATGGGGCAAATGCAGGCCCCTTGTCTTTGCTCTCTGGCCAGGGAGGGGGAGGATGTGAGAGGGGAGGGAAGGTGTTGGGGAGGAGATGAGAAGAAAGGAAGGGGAAGAATTGACCTCTCCAAGCCCCCACCAAAATGTTAGGACTCACTCAGGGGACTGGGCTCTGGGCAGGCCAGGCTCTTGGCAAGTGCCGCCTCACTTCACCCCGGGGTAGGGGTTGGTGGAGCAGAGCTCTTCAAAGGGGAAAGCCAGGGATAGATCTGGCTCCTAGGGTCCGAGATGATGAAGGCAGAAGGGGCCTTCAGGCTGGCAGCAGCCCCACTCGGGGCCCACCGGCTGCTGGATGGATGCTGGGAGCTTCCCAGAGAAAGCTCCAGGCTCGAAGCAGATGCCATGGGGTGTAAAACCCAGAGGCCCAGGGCAGGCTTGCAAATGCCCATGAAAAAGGCCTGCACCAGAGCAGTGAGTCAGGAGAGGGAAGGCATCGCAGTGCATGCCCGCATGAGCACCCCTGGTGCCACCTTCCCCCTCTCTCCTTGCAGGGCTGGCTCCGCTCCATCTCGCTGGTGTGGTTTGCTAATACGGGGATTCCTCCTTGCAAGGCACTGAGGGTGACAGGCGCTACCTCCAGGCACAACAGGAGGAGTGGAGACAACGTGGCCCGCTGAATTGCAGGTGCATCCACCAAGGTGAATCTCAGCACATCACTTTGCAGCCCGCGCCTTGGGCTGAGGGAGGAAAGGGGATGCCTGCTTGCTAAGCAGGCAGGGCACACAGGGGCTCCCTGGGCCCCTAGGAAAGCAGAGAGGCAGGATCATACAGCGGGGAGAAAAAGAACCACAGGGCTGAACATCTCTGCCACAGATTCACCATGGGGCCTTGGTCAAGTCACTTTCTGTCTCTGGGGCCTGCCTTCTCCCTTGGGTTTTGTTGTTTCCGACCTCAGAAGCTGGGTCTCTCCTTGGTTTTCTCCATCTCAGAGCTGAGCCTCAGGCAGGGAGGTTGCGAGGGCTGGTCCCACCAGGGGTGAAGTTCTCTCTGCCAGGGCGTCCAGACTCGGAGAGGAGTTTCACCCAGAGACAGGGTTCGGGGCTGCCGGGGGTCGGGTCTCTGTGAGCACAGGTTCGTGGCTCCATCCGTGGTTTGCGGCCAGCTGGCCCCTCAGGCCCTGAGCAGGGGGATGGACTAGATGTGCTCTCCTGAGCGTCCTTCCAAACCTGCCATTCAATCCTGTGGTTTGGTAGCTGCACCGGGGCAGATCCTGGAGTGACTGGAGAAGTGGAGTGGCTTTGGGTTGACACCGCTGTAAAGGAGATCAGAATCAGGCCGGCTAGCTCTGCGCCAGCCACTAAACCTAGCCCAAAAATGCCAGGAGGGATGGGACAGATGGTTTTAAACACCCCCCCCCCGAGCTCCTTGCGGGGCGGCAGGGCAGGACGGGAGGGCTGGGCCTAAAAATGGCTCTGGATGCTGCAGAGAAAACACGCTCTGTCGGCAGCTCCTGCGACTCCGCTCCAGCGAAGGTGGCGTGATGAGGATCTTGTGGGCTTCCCCCCCAAAGCGGGCATGGAGAGCGAGCAGAGGGATCTGGCACAAAGGGACTCCACGTGTCCAGATGAAAGGGGCCGTTCTGTCTCCATCGCTCCCCTAGCTCGTGGCCTCTCTGCTGCCATCGGGGCTGGGGCTGGAGTGGGCTCCAACTGGGGGAGCATGGACACATGGGGACGACGGGATACGGGGAAGGAGGGACCGGTTGAGGCCTGGAGTGTGACGGAGTCCAGCCAGAGTCCTGCCCGCTGGCTGAGCTCGGACAAGCTCATCTCTCCAGCTGGGGGTCCGGCAATGTCCACCTCCCAGAGGCGCCCACGTGCTCCTCCACCCAGTCCACATAGTTCGACACTTTGGTGTACACCCCGTACACTTGCTTGCTCCCGCACTCTTCCGGCCCGCCCCATGAGACCAGCCCCTGGGCCACCCACCGCTGGGTGCCCGGGTCCTGGATGACGAAGGCTCCCCCGCTGTCGCCCAGGCACGTGTCTTTCCCCCCTTCGTAGTAGCCGGCGCAGAACATGTTCTCGGTCACGCTGTAGTTCCCCGAGCGGGACTCGTAGCTCTCCTTGCACTCGGCGTGCGGGACGACTGGCAGCTTGACGTACTGCAGGATGTCGGACAGGGTCCGCATGCCCGAGCTGATGATCTCGTCCACGGTGATATTGGGGTTGGAGATGCCCCAGCCGGCCACGAGACCCAAGGTGTTGGGGTGCGGCCCCTCCAGCTCGCGCTCGAACTGAGGCAGGCAGACGGGCATGACGTGGGGCCCCATGGCCACCCTCTCCTTCAGCTTGACCAGGGCGATGTCGTGGTTGTAGTTTTGGATGTCGAACCCTGCGTGCAGGACGATCTTCTCCACCGTCCGGTTGACCGCGGCCGTCTTGCGCCGCACGTCATGGAGGCCCAGGTAGACGGTGACGTGCTCTTTGGACACCGGGATGACCGTGTTGTCCCGGCGCTGGGAGCGGAGGACGTGGGCCGCCGTGAGCACCCACGAGTCGGAGAGCAGGGCCCCGCTGCCGAACCACTTGTCGTTGGGCACCCGGGACGTGTCCTCCACCACGATCAGGGCCTGCCAGGGGAAGGAGCCGGGCTCCGCGTTGCGCCCGCCGATGATGCGCTTGATGATGCCGGGCAAGGGGCGAGCGGGCCGGCCGCACACTGGGGAGAGAAGAGACAGGGCCGTTACTCCAATGCCGCAGCAGCGAAGAGCGGGGCAAAGGGCTCCCTGGTAGATTATGCCAGCGTCAAGCAACCCCTCCAGTCCCAAATGCTCTTTGTTACTGGCCTCTGTGCACAACCCCCCCTCGCTCTCTCTTCTCCGCTGCTTGTCTCGGGCTGATTTTGACCCCCCCACAAGTCCGTTCCTTCGTCCTTAATCTCTTGGGCCCTTGCAGACACGTCTGGGAGGGAGGTTGCCAGTTGTACCTTTGTCTTAGAGAGTCTGCTCTCATCCTACATTCATCACGTGCCCTAGAGAGTCACTTGCACCATCTGTTTGCAGCTGGGTCGAACTGGCCCTGATGCCAGCTTGGGATCCTCATCCTTATGCATCCTTCTCCTCAGCCCTTTAGGGAGGCCAGTACTATGTCTCAAAGGCTGGGGACAGTGAGGCATAGAGAAGGGAAGTGACTTGCCCAAGGTTACACAGTGAATCAGTGGCAGAGCCAGCAGTGGGGGCCCGCCTCTATCCCCTCCCCTTCCAGCCACTGTGCCGCTTGCCTCTAGATCCTCCTCCTTGTCCTTTGGGACATCCTTCCTTCGCTGTTATTGTTGTACTTTGCTCCATGACACGGACTGCCTTTGCACCCCAGTGCCCCTGCTCGCACCAGATGGAGCCCCCCGGAGAAGGGGCAGCCTGGCGGCATAATGCACCTGCAATGATGCATGCCCGCAGCTCAGCGCCATCCATCATTGCACCAAAGGACGCCCCAAGTACCTTCGTGGGGGCAGGCGGGGAGGAAGCATTGGGGCTCCCGCCATGCCTCTCCGGCACACGAGCGCTCAAACGAGGCCGCGAGGATTGCACCGCCAGCGACCTATGCTGGAAGGTCTTCGAGGCTGGGCCCGACCGCACAGGACACCAGCAAGTCAGGAGCTGGGAGGGAGGCATCTTCAGGGCTTTCCAGCGACGGGTTCGAGTCCAGCTGGGATTCGGTGCTCAGATAGAGACGCTCTGCTCACCTCTAGGCCGGGTCTTTCTGCCAGCATCCCCTTGTCTCCTCCACCCCCACCACAGCTGCCCAGCGTCCCTCTAGGTCCCGAAGGAAATGCATTCAATTGCCTGTTGGGTCCGTCCCCAGGAAGGTGTCTGGAGCATCCCAGAAACATAGGGCTCGATTCCAAGCTCGCCAGCAACACCTCGGCGCAGAGCCAACTCACACCTTGGACTTTGACCTGGCTTATGTCTCGTGCGGGTTGCTTTATGCCCTGCTCAGACTCAGGCCTGCCCCCATTTCCCCCTGTTGCTTACTAAGAACGGGGTCAGGCTCAGTTGACCCCCTCACCGAAAGCCTGGCCCGTGTCACCCCTCCTCTGCGGAGCTGACCCGGGCGCTGCAGTAGCCATGGGGGTTGCAAGCCAAATGGCAATGCTGCCACGATGCTCAGAGGCGGCCAGTGAAAGACCCAGATGGCGGCTAGGAAACAACCTCCCAGCTCGCCAGACTCATACAAGCAAGCCCCTTTGGCCACCCACTGCTGCAATCTAGATTAGTCCTTGACCTGCCCTAGTTAGTAGATCCAAAATTGCTCTCTCAGGAGCCCTAATTTGCCTCCCCTGTCCCATTAATGTATCCCCCAGGCTGTCCATCCAGCTCCTTTAACCCAGCTGGAGAAGGAAAGGTGCCCATGAAAGAAGGGGCGCATGGAGAGAGGCTGCAGGGGTGTGGAAGAAAGCAATGGGATAAACAGTCTCTGAGGGCCCACAACATGCCTGGTCCTGCCTGGTCCCTGGGAGACTGAGCTGGGAGTGATTCTCTCCCCCTGGCAGCTGCAGCCAAAGAGGGCCACTTGGGGATGTGGGCAGCGAGGCAGGGGGTGACCACTAGCACAGCGCTTGATATGCTGCCCCTTTCACAAGCATTGATGGACACAGCCTCACATTACCCCAGGCACAGGGAGAAGCAGCAAGGCCAGCTTCCAGGCAGGGAAACTGAGGCACAGAGGGGTGACGATGACTTGCTTGTAGCCGCCGAGCAAGCCAGGGACGGGTCTGGCAGACGAATGCACGGGGGCAACAGACATAGACACCAGCTGCACGGCTGCAAGCTGGCGGCCGAGTTACTTTTGCACCGCATCGCCACGTCTGAGACCCGGCCCCGGGAGGGAACATTTGCCTACGCAAAGGTGACACCTCTTGGATGGGGCTGGGGGGTGTGTGAAGGTGGGCATTCAGGCATGCATTTAGTATTGTAAGGGACACAAAGATGCTTAGCTCAAAAATTCCTGCATCTCTGCCCCATGCAGCTGTCAGGCTGTGCCAAAGCCTGGCAGAGGTGGGCTATGTATTTTAGATGGACGGTGCTTTTGCCCTCACCCTTCCCATGCCAGCAGGAGGAATCCTGCATGGGGGTGACTCTGCTCTGGTGCAACGGGGAGCCAAGCAAGGGTTCATAACTATTAATTTCTGCCAGATGCAGGCCCCAGGTACCCGGCCGTCTTGTCTGAGCATAGAGGAGGCCCAGCAGTGGGTGATGGAGGACAAGCCTCCCTCCATGCAACCCTTCCTCCTGCCGCACCTCCACCCCAGTGGAGCAGGATTGCCTCTGGCAGATGGGCTATGGCACGGTTGGGGCTTGGGAATTCAGTGGCATCTGGCTGAAACCTGCATTTGGGAAATGCCCCCAGGCTCCCGTTGTATGGGAGTCTGCAGGGAACTTTCTCTTTCTAGTCTGGCTTCTTTCCAAAGGGCCGGACCGCTTTCCCCAGCACTGGCACCGGATGAGAACGGGGTACGCCTCTTGCCATTTGCTGAGAGGTGTTTTTGTTGGCGACAGAAAAGCTGCACACACCACAGGGTGCACATGCATGTGTGTAAAGCAGGAGCAGCCGGCTCAGCTGGTTTGTAACTCAAACCGGCTTTCTCTTGGCCAGAACGGGCCTGCCGCTCGGAGAGGGGCAGGACAGGGGTGTTTGCCAGGTTCTCGCACAACGACGCCCTGGTGCAGGCAGCTTGGCCCTGAGGTCTTGCAAGGGTAGGAACAAGTGAGTCCTTAACACCAATCCCTCCTTTGACACTGCCTTCTCCTGGGGTCTTGGGCCCACCCCTGAATCTCTCAGCCTCAGTGTCTCCAGCTGTGAAATGGGGGCAAGGCCCATACAAGTGAGTGGATGTCTGAAAAGCACCTTGATGCCTGCTCTGTAAAGGCTTCTCCAGCACTGTGGGGCTGGGCCTGTATCGAAAGACCTGCCTCTGCCGGCTACCCGGTTTTGGTTGGGCTTGGGGGTGGATTCATAGTGCTGTAGGGGCCAAATTCCACCAGTGCAATGTTCCTGACACATCCAGTGACCCCAGGGGCTGGATTTGGGCCCCGTGCCTTAGAAAGAGGTCTGAGCTGACAGCCATGATCTCAATGCCTATGCACTTTGGGGGATTCAGGACTCTGGGCCCCACTTCTGTGACTTCCCCCCATCTCTCCAGCACTCGCTGCTGGGTCCTACAGGGCAAAGAGGTAGCTTTTCCCCTGGGGATGAGGCTTGTGTCTCTGCAGCGTAGCCTTCGAGGTGGGCATCCGTCTATTGGGGAGGCACCACATCGCTCCAGGCCTGAAGCGCAGCCAGCAGAACTGGGCCAATGCCTCCCACCCTCGCCCCATGCCCCTACATCCCCCCTGAGCTCTGCAGGTACCTGGTTGGCAGGACGGCAGCTTGGTCCCCAGCTCCTCACTCCTCCAGACCCCGTTCTCATCACAGGTGTACATGCCTGGAAGAGAGTGAGATGTTAGCCCCATGGCCTGGATGCACCGGGGTTTGCACGTGCATGGCTGGAGGACCTGCACTGTGCCTTTCCTAAACACAGGTCTATCACGTGTCATGATAAATTCTAGGGCCCCGGGTCACACCGGAGTAGCTGGCATAGCTGTCTGCAAAGGCAGAACCAGAGTGTTGTCCGAGGGCAGAAGGGCTGCCTGGAAAGGTTGCCTTGCCTCCACTAGCAGGTCTCGCAGCTGGCACCGCTTGATATCTGTGATATGGGGTCCCAGACTCTAGCGGGCACCTGCGGCTCTTCCTGAAGGCAGGGGGCATGGATGAGCCCCAGCAGGAAGCATCTTCCAAGGTCATCACACCGTAAGGATGGAGGCAAGTGCAAAGGAGTGGTCCTGCCTTCGGAGACGTGGCTTGTGCTCATTTCCACGGGCCACTGGGCTGCTCAGGGCACAGCAGGGGCTGTGTGCTGGGAGCGGGGATATGAGCAGATCACACACCCTGATGTACCAGTCTGCAGAGGGTCAAGGGATGGAGGCACCAGCTGGGTCGAAGAGGCAGCACGTGGGGGCTGTATGGCACGAAGCTGGCTCTGGAGAGACTGCTCCAAGCCAGGTTAAAGGCGCAGACCTAATTCAGCCCAGCTGGTGCCAGGGAGACCTGGGAAGCCAAGCGCTACAGCCTCACCGCTGCAAGCGAAGCACGGACCAGGCATTCTCCATTCCCAATCGCCCACAGGAGGGTTTTGCAGTGGGCTCAACGGGGGAAACTTTGCACACAGACAAGCAGTAATAAGGATTATGTGGCCTGGGTGCTGCTATCAGTGAGGCCTGTTGTCTTCAGGCTGTGGCACTTTCCCGTGAGGACAGGACTGCGCTGTGTGCGGGCAGGGTTTAGTAGCTAGACATGGCTAGCGCTGCTCCCTAACAGCTGCTCCCTGAGGGCCAAAGAGCACTGAGATGGCAGCATCTTCTCTGCCGAGACGTAGCCCTGCGGGGTAACACGGTCGTCTTTGCAGAGACCGCCGGCAGCCGGCTTTGCCTTTAGCAGCACAGACACCCCAGATGAAACCTCTGTTTCCAGCTAGCTCCTTCCTCCCGGGGCAGCCACGCGATGTGGCCAGGATGCCGGCACATGTAAGCATGTTGCACACGGACCATTGCAACCCCGTGCTTGCATGGACACAATCCCTCCACCCCCCCTCGCACAGTGCCCTCACCGGTGACGTTGGGGGCCATGTGGTAGTAGGGGCGCTGGCAGGAGTACCGGATCGCGGAGCGGTAGGTGGTGAGGTTGCTCCTCGAGGTGAACGTGATGAACCCGTGCTCCAGCTCCGCCGGGGCTCGGCAGTCGGCCACTAGGGAGAAAGGAGAGTGGGGTCACCTGTGCTCGCATCCCTTCTTGGCACGGTGACCCAGCACCACAGCTACATGACATTATCCTCCGCTTTATGACTTTATAAAGGAAGTGGGGTGGGACAGATGCTCCAGAGGTCCCATCTAGTCCATCCCCCGCCTGAGGCAAGATCAGCCCTCTGCAAACCAGCCTGGTACAAATCCATCACGGGGCTGGACCCGATGATCTCATGAGGTCCCTTCCAGCCCTCAACTTCTGTGAATTAGCTGAACTCTTAGCAAAACTCCCACCAGCCCTGATATAGCACAGACCTCACACCTGAACCTGCCACCTGGAAAGCAGGGGACCACGGCAGCCAGCGTCCTGCTGCTATAAAAGGTTGTTAATATACACTCAAGAGATAGTATCACAGAGTCACAGACAACGAGGGTTGGTACATCTAGTCCAACCCCTGCTCCAAGCAGGACCAGCCCCAACTCCATCATCCCAGTCAAGGCTTGGTCTACCTGGGTCTTGAACACCTCCGAGGATGGATCCAGGCCACGCTCTGGATACAGAGGAAGGCAAAATCCACACAGTCTGTGCTAGTCTGACCAGGGGGTAAATTTCCTTCCTGACCCCAAATGTGGCATCAGTCTGACCCTGAGTGGAGGGGCAAGACCCTCTAGCCAGGAAGTCCCAGCAGGAGCATTGGCACAGCCCAGTCACCACCCCCAGCCTGGGGTGCAGCCAGCACCCAATGCTGGTGATGAATGCTTAGCCCCCCCACACAACACATGTAGCAGAGAGGGAGCAACTAGCAAAGCCCAGCAGCCTGGGAAATGCCCACAGCAGGCATTGCTAGGCCTAGATCATCCCCCACCCACGGCTGTCCTTGAACCCCTCCAGTGTTGGAGAGTCCACCCCTTCCCTGGGCATCTCCTCCACAGCCTCCCTGCTCTGACAGTGAAGAAATGTTTCCTGAGATCTGACCTCAACCTGCTTTGCTGCAACTTCAAGCCAAGCTAACTTGGAGCTGGGCTGGCAGGAGGGGAGGGTGTGCGTGTGAGCAGGGGCTGTACGTGTGTGCCTGTCTCGGGTCCCAGATCAGCCTCTGGGCAGCTTTTCCTTCTGTTGAAATCCAGGTGTGTTTTGCTTCTGCTTTCAACGGGGCTGTGATCCTCCCTTCTCTTCCCTCTCTGGTATCTGGGAGACAGGGAAGACGGGCCAGCCGGAGAAGAAGGCTCTCTCAAGTCATAGTATCATAGAAAATGGGGGTGGGAAGGGACCTGCATCTAGTCCGACCTTCTGCTCCAAGCAGGACCAGCCCCACCTACATCATCCCAGCCAAGGTTTTATCTACCTGGGCCAAGCACAACAGTTGAAGGATCTTGGTTGTGATCTGGGTCTCAGGAGTCCCCATGTTCAGGGCCTCAGACTAATTTATGCTGATTTTGCATTGCCTGCAAGTGAGGTGAAATTCCTGTAGCCCTTGGGGCGAGGTAGACACTGATTTAACAGCAGGGCATGACCCATGATGGTTGTTCTCTGCCTGGTAGCCCGGTTGTTTGGGAAAGAAACCTCTAGACTAGTCAGTGTGTGAATTAGGGGCCATGGAGGAAACAGCTGGCAAGTGGGTGTTGAGAATAAGCACCCGAGGCTGCTCCTGCCCATGCTAATCCCTGGCACCGTTGCTGGCGTAGGCCCCAAGACACTCACTGAAGACCCTGTGGCGACTCTTGGGGATGTGCAAGCACCAGGCCAGGCAGTAAGGTGTTCCCGTTGCAATGCGAGCTCAAATGCTGGTGCTGGAGCCCCAGCCGCAGCCCTTCTCCCACCCTGGCAGATCGGCCAGCTCGCGGGAATTTAAAACGTCTCTTGAAGCAGGGAATTTGGGAGCTGAGGTAGGGGCATCACTCGCATTGTACCTCGCCTTGCAGGGCAGGCGTGGTGTGGCTGCCTGTTTCTCTCAGCGCTTTGTTAGCCCTGTATAGATTGCAACCAGCCAAGTGGATGCGTTGCTGCTATTTGAGCTAATTAGTGCATATCTGTAGGTGTGTCTGCACGTGTATTTATGCGCACCTAAACTTCACGAGCCTTTGCTTAAGGCATGCTAAGGTGATTTAGGTGCGCATCTACAAATAGACACGCTAATGCGCATTAAGGCGAATAGCTAAGTCGCCTTAGTGCACGTGCAGACATGCTAATCGCATTAACATGCTGTGTATCCATTGACGCACATGTTAATGCGCATTAGCGTGTCTACACGTGTGCTAATGCGACAGTTATTTCCGCCGAAATTGGATACCTGCTTTAGGCATGTATCAAATTTAGGCTCACATAACAAACCACCATTGTTAAGGCACACTAAGGGCATGCATATGTAGACTCATACCCTTAATGCACCTTAAAAATGGGGATTTTAGGCTAAGCTCACTTAAAAGAGCATCCTGTTATGATGAGATGGCGTTGCACTGGATCTCCAGGGTGTTGTGGAGCAGCTCCTGCTGGGGCAGCTACTAAGGCAGACAGAGACTTGCTCAGGCCTTTCCCCCAGGCCCCACCACTTTCTCAGCAGTTCAATGCCAAAGTGGGTCTCACGCCGCCACTAGATGTGCTCTTTGGGGGGCTCGTAGGAAAGGCAGGCTGGCAGGACCCTCACAGGGTCATCTCGCCCCACCCTCTGCTCAAGGCAGGATCATGGCCATCTAAACCCAGCCCAGTGTCCACCCCAGCTGCTATATACACTTCCAAGGATGGCGATTGCACAGCCTGGCTAGGCCGCCTGCTTGAGCACCCCCACGAAGAGCAAGTTCTTTCTAACACCCAGACCACATTTCCCCCATTGCCGTGTAAGCTCCTGGCTACTGTAGGGGATAAAGAAATCGAGAAGAATTCATCGCATCCTCTTGGTCAGCGCCCTTCAAGTAGCTGAAGGCTGTCATTAAATCCCACCCTGGTTTTCTTTTTTTTCCAGATTAAAAACTCCCCATTCTTCCAGGCTTTGCTTCTATGTTGTGTTTCCCAGACCGCTGACCCTCCTGGGCGCTCTCCGTGGCACTCTCACCTGTGTGTCCACATCTTTCTGGATCTGTGATGCCCAAAGCTGGACACGGTACTCCCGGGGAGGCCTCCCCAGTGCTGAATGGACCCCGTTCTTAGCTCTTTCCCAATCTGGATGGGCTGCACTATAAGGGACCTCTGGGGGTGGGGGTCTCTTGTCAGGCCCCTTCTTCTGCCCCTGCCCCCCAGCCTCCCACCCCTCTGTCACTTCCCAGTGGGGAAGCACTGGGTTCACCAGGTCCCATCTCTCGGCCGCTCTTTCTGGGGATCCAGGCTTTCTTGCCAGGCCATGCTGTTCTCTCTGGCCAAGTCCCCGTACCTGCAGGCTTGAAGGTGTGTTATATTTTGGATGGGCTGCCTCAGTCTGGGCTCCTTGTTCTGACCCCCCTCCACCATCAGGCCCATCTCCCCGCCCCTGACTCTTCCCTATTTCTGGTCCCAGCTCCATTTTGGCGCTTGCTCTTAGGGCTCCCTTGCTTTCAGGCGCAGACGTGACCTCCTTGCTCTTCCTTCTGCTGCCAACTGCTCTGTTCCTCAGGCCTTTTCTCCCCAGGCATCTTTTTCTCTGGGCTATAAGCTCCTGTCTTGTGCTGCAAAGCTGCTGTGGACCCGCACACTCTCCTCAGACATCCATCCTCACCGCCCTGGCTGTCAACGCTAACTCTTAAAGATCTGTCTCAGGCCATCACTGGCCAAAGCTTGGCAACCCTTTCCCCTTAGCTCCCTTCTCCATGGGGCCTATCCAAAGCCAGTTGAAGTCAAGAGAGAGCTTTCCAATAACATCACCGGCCTTTGGTTCACTGTACGTGTATGCGTATGTGTGTGTGCTTCCCCAGTGGCCTGGCTCTCTTCTCCAAGATCCTCTCTTCATCCCCTCTCTCCCCACTGCACTGCTTCATCACTTCCTTCTAGCCTTCTTCCCTCCATGCCTTCCCTTCTGTGACCCTCCACCCCTTCCCTAGCTTGCTCCATCATTTGTTCCTCCAGCCAAGTCCCCGGTAGCATGCTATCAGCCTTGCTCTTTCCATTTTTATGCTCGGAGACTAATCTCTGGCCCTGGAAAACAATGCTACAAGGAGCCACATCCTATTCTACCTATTAGGCATCTAATGGTGCTTGTACACGTGACGGAGCTTTAGTCCTTCAGGTTGTGGTCTATGCCCCCCAACTTGAAACAGTGAGTTTTAAATTGCAGCCTACCCTGTCACTGTACACATGTGATTGTCCAGGCCCCTGTTGAAGGCTGAAGCCCTGAGGGGCCCAATCCTTTCCCCCTGCAGAGTCTGCCTGCCTGTCCTGTGGCCGGGTGGTGGGGCAGGGAGGGAGGTGAGCTGACTAATGGCTGCAATGTTCCCAATTGCAGCGTTGCAAGCTAAACCACATTGGGATATCATTTAGTTTGCAATAATGCAAACTCATTTAATCCCCTACTCTGAAAACTCAGGTATGTGTAATGCTTGATGCCATTAAGTCACATACAGGGAAACTTTCGTCATGTGTACAAGCGCCCTTGGCAATCGGTGCCTAAGTGCAATCCTCCTCCACCCTGCTCAAATCCCTGACAAGCCATTGATGTTAAAGGTGGTGGCTCCTCCTCTCTAGCTGTTTTCTGTGACTTACTCTTCAGGCTAAAAGGACAGTGTGCTACACAGGAAAGGCTCATGAACAGCAGCTCTGGACGAAGGCAGCAGCTTGGCAGAGGCAGCAGCAGAGCTGGGAAGGCATGCTGAAGGGGCGAGCCCAGATGGACAGATTCCCTTGCGGGTCTGTCTTGCAAGCACTTGTCAGTCCCAAAGAGCCGGGGTGGGGGGTTCACATGCAGCAGGATGCAGGGAACGAGGCTGGCTTTTTTGCTCTGAGAGACTGAAAGGGAGCAAAGAACAGCTCTCATTCTTAGACCGACCAGCCTGGCCCAGGGTAGGAGGGGGAAAGCAAGGCCACGAACGGTTATTTTCAAACAACAAAGCACAGACAAAGCAGCTGCTCCTTGCATCACGGTTTTCATTGCTGTGTCTCCGAGGCGCAGTGCAGACACCTGCCAGAGTGCCCTGTCCCCAGGGCAGCAGCCTGGGGTGCGGGTGGGTTGTGCTTTTCCTGGGGTATGGGGGTGGGAAAGGAGTTCGATCCTTTCAGTCGGAGTGTGCCAGGTAGGCTGGGGTGAACAGGGGTCCAGCATTGAATCTACAGCAGTGACGTCTCTCCCCAAAGGAGATCCCCCCTGCTGCAAAGTTGGAAAGGGCTGGGGGGAGAGCACAGGGAGTATGCCTTGCAGCCTAGAGAGTCCCTGATATGTCTAAGAGACAGTCTGCCCCTTCTAAGAGGTGGTCATGCCGTCACTTGGTCCGACTCAGCTCTTCTCTCTGTCTTGTTGTCGGCTGTCTCTGCAGCTGCGCCGAAGGCAGAAGGGGAAAGGGAAGGGAGGAAAGCAGAGAGAGAGAAAGAGAGAGCAGGATTAACAGCTGAGCAGAGAGAATCCATGCAGGAAACATGCCCCCATAACACCACGAAGGGGGATCAATTCAGCAAGCGTCCAAGGGTTATATGCGGAGAGCAGGCTGGGCCTCGGAGGCAGTGCAGAGGGGTCTGATCGTGTTAAACACCGTAATAACAGGATGACACCTTACAGTGGCGCCAACACCATGCCCCCTTATCCCGGTCCTGGCTCCACTGGGCCAACACCCATCCTGCAGTGGCACATAGCTGTCCACACCTTCTACTACAAAGAAACTCTTTGCTTTGGCCCAATATCAGCCTGTTTTTGTCTTATTACAGCAGGGGTGAAAATGGTTTTGTCTGCACAAAAAATTGGAAAAACCAAAAATGTTTCATTTTTGTACTTTTTTTTTTTGCAGCTTTTTCCCCCTTAAGAGACGGTTTTTGATTTGTCATTTGGAGGGGTTCTGTTTTTTTGACAAACCCTGAAACTTTCAGTGAATAGACGATAACGTCTTAGGGGACCTACACGATCATCTTGTCTGAGCTCTTGGATACCACTGCCCCAAAGTGGTTTGTTTGGGGGTTTTTTGGTCCAAACCCCCATTTTTTGGTGCAAAACGTTTACTAAGAAAAATGTCCGACCGGCATCCATTCTCATTTGGTCTTTGTTCAAGCTCTGGAGGAAGAGATTTCTTTAGTAATAGATGAGTTAGAAACTCAATATCTGAGGGGGTTTTGTAGCAAGGCATGTCCCCTTCAAAGGCACAACTAGCGGATGGGGAGTACGTGGCAGTTCTGACATCACTGCAATTGCCACGTCCAGGGAGCTTTGCAAGTACAAGTTACTCCTTGCTACCACCTGCCTACGGCGGGTTCAGCAGAGCAGTATTATTGTTATAAAACAAGGATCCACCGGCAATGGAGGCGGTTGCAGAGCAGGGGCTCTCCAGCCAGAAAAGCTCCAATTCCTCCCAGCCGTTCTCCATCCCTAGGTGTAAGAGAGGCAACAGCGTGCACATTTCTGGCCTTAAGCAGCTAAAGCTGGCAGGAAAGCAGACTCAGGGCACTTTTGCCTAGAGGTACCTGCTTTTGCGTGCGTGCATGAGCAGAGGGAGCAGCGTCCAGGACACGGGGGTTGGATCCATTGTCCCAGGTAGGATCGGTTCAGGGGATAGATCCCAGCTGGGAAGTTGGCATCAGGACCTGGGTCTGAACTCTGCCCACATTCAGGGGGTTGAGGTCTGATGACTGTCTCAACCCTGTCCCTGCTCATGTGCTTTAGGGTCCCTCTCCCAAACAGGAGGCAGAGGGGAGGTGAAGGGATGCCCCTAGCTCTCTATGCAAGCCGGCATCCCATCCTGTTCTGCAATCCCCAGGCGAACCACCTTCGCTTGGGTTGTTCATTTTCTCTGTTGGCCTGCATTCAATTCTGACCCAGCTTTCTTGGCCATCCATGCCTGTCTCTGCTTCTCCACCCCTTCTGCCCAGGGGAAACACTGGAGCACACAGGCTGGGTGCCCCAGGGACATGCAAGGGGTGCCCGCACTCGAGACATGTCATTCCTGTATTAGAAGTAGGTCTGCCTAAAGCCTGGGGCCACTGGAGCTGTGCAACATCCCAGCATCAACCTTCAGCAGCAACGAATCAATGTGTTTTTTGAAATATCAGGCCAACTTTTCTCACTCCTTTTGCTGCTGTCCGTATGCCTTGGTTTTGGCTGCACTTGTGACCAACCCAGACCTCTGGGTCTGAGCAACTCTAAAACCAAAAAGCAGTTCAGTTCCAGGTCCAGATATCCCACGTGGGCCTTGTTACTATAATAGTTTGAAGCCCCTTCTCCCACCCATCAGCTGCAAACATACCGCTGGCATAGGTGGGTTCAAATCCATATCAGGATTTGGTAGCTGGGCCCCACCAGCCCCAAGAAGAAGCCGACAAGCTGACTTATCACAAGGAAGGCCGTCCCAGGCCGCGTGTGGGAAGGGGGCTCTGATAAGATCCTAAATGACCCTGGAGCTTGTGGGTGTTGGTCCAACTGGGAGAGAGCTTCTGAGCCTTCCTGGATTTGCCCACCTCTGTCTGGTAGCATCAGGGCTTGAGCCAATTCCTACTGGAGCCTTCCCGGTGCCTTCAAGGAGGTATGGGCACTTGTACATGCTGTGTACTGGTTACATACACATTACAAAATGGCCTGAAAAATCACCGTTTTGCTATTTTAGTTGTGTGAGCGAATGCTTGTTGACTTTTTTATCGTGGTAGGTTTCAAACAATTGTGGCAAACTAGACCACCTCCGCCACGCTTTAGTTTTACCGTGGCCAATTGTTCTAGCAAGTTTTGTTCTCTCGGGATACTTCCGTTAGGTGCGCTCTTGCACTATGGACCAGGCCCTTCATGACGGGGTGAAAGCTAATGCAGAGGACGATGCCATTTATCCGTCTGCTTGGAGACAGTCCCAGAGCCAGGGCAGTGCTTGTTTGGAGAGGGAAACAGGGAAAGCAGGTTGCGCTTATTCAGTTGCATTAGGGAGAACAAATACCCGACCTGTCATCTTTGGCACAAACTCTGTTGTGCTCTAGGAGAAATGGCCAACATGGTTTTGCAGGGACATCCGTACACCCCTGCCTGGAGCTTGGCACTGGGGCTGTTACCCCCAGATAAAGGGTACTGGGAAGGGAGAGAGGGGCTTCTTACTTTTGCAGATGGGGACCTTGTTGCTCCACGTCCCATCCTTCAGGCACTCGATTTGGAAGGTGTCGCTCTCCACATCGCCCTGCGCAGAAGGCAAGAGGGAAAGACATGGTCACCCCAGCCTCGGGACCACCCCACCCCTTACAGCAGAGAGACAGCCTGTCTGGGATGGCAGTAGATAGGCCCAAGGGGCGGTTGAGTGCTGGGTCTAGGACCACTTTGTGGATGATCCCTACCTGCTGGAGGTCATCACTCAAAATACCAGCCTTGCTCCACTTGCAAAGTTAATAGTTTCCTTTACAGGCTCTCAAGTTGGAAGCCAGAGCCATGGTCACCGAGTTGGACAGGTGGCATACAGCTGGCTAGGGAGATTTCCCTGGGGTTCAAGACCACAGAGGAGCTGAGCAGAGGCTCTACAGAAGGCCCCTCTGCTCCTCTTTGTCTTGTGCAAAGCCAAGCCTTGCCTCTGCTTGCTCGCTGGCTGGTGTGAGACACTAGGCAGGTGGTTTGGGGAAAAGTTGGTCCGCTCCACCTCCACTGTCTTTGCAAGGGAAGGTCTATGGCGTCAAGCATAGGCTGCTCCCATGTGTGGTCTCTAGCAGGGCAGGCAGGGCTCTCCTTTGGGTTACTTTGCCCCTCTTGAGCACAGAGGTAGCCGCTGTCCTAGGGAAGGAGGTGGGAGGAGGGAAGGGTCTCCTTAGGTCTGAATGAAGGGGGTGATGCAGGGCTGCGGTCTCTGCTTCAGCGGAGTGGTCCCAGCAATGACCGACTGGGAAGCGCCTTTGTGTGGTGCTGGAGCCTGACAAAGCATGAGGGTAGCGCCCGATGGCAAGGAGTGGGACGATGTGGTTGGGGCTGGTCCTGCTTGGAGCAGATGTCCCTCCCAACCCTCATTGTCTATGCGTTTATGTCCCTGGGTGCCTGGCCAGCTTCACAGGGTACCACTGGGGGCTTCCCATCACTACAAAACATCGCACTCCTCTCTAATTCAGCATGTGCCTATGGCACGAGAGCACGGGCACAGGGGGCCTTCATGTGAGCCCACTCCAACGGACTGAAGAGACGCTGCCCCAGCCCCAGAGATGGAGGCGAGCAGTCCCTGTACCTTTAGCACTTTGTATCCGGGGTTGCAGCTGATGACCACCTGGTCCTTAAAGGTGTACCGTGCCTGCAAGGGGTCGATCTTCCCATTGATGGGAGGCTGCACGAGAGGGCACAGGTTCCCTTGGCAAGTGGGGAGAAAAAAAATGCAAATTCAAATGGCAGCCAGCTAACGGGACGGAGGCCTGGATGAAGCCCAGCCACGGCAGGCCTGTTCCCAATCCTCTTTATTGGTGCAATGATACCTGCTGCTTCTCCCTGAGCTACGATGCTGTGCAAAATGGCACAGGGGCCAGGGCTATCGGTGCTACTGAAGGGGCCCTCAGGGATGTCACGAACCTCAAACCGGGGGGTGCCCTTCCCACCCTGAGCTTTGCCTCCCTGCTGGGACTGCTTCATTCCCAGCCTACTTTGGACAAAGCTAGGACTCGGGACTCCCTCCTTGGGACTTAATATGAACAGCCTGATGCTCCCAGTGGCCCAGAGCCTGGCACGGTGGCAGGCAGGGCTCAGCACTGCTGCCATCAGTCAGGTCCATCCAGGTAACTTCCTCCCCCGCAGAATGAAATTGCACCGTTAGATTCACTCTGTGCATCCCACACCCTCCTTCGCCTGGAGTCTCAGGACCAGATGGACCATCAATCCCCCTCTACCCGGTTTGCCAAGCCCCTGTGGGTGCAGAGGAGGGAAAGGAGCAGGGTGATTTACCGGTGGCCGTGTACGACAGCTTCCACCCTCGGTTCTCGCCCGAGTTGTCGCTGTGGAACAGGATCTGGACGCTGTTGGTCTGCGTTTCAATACGTCCCGGGGATTTTTCCCCACAGAAAGGCCCAAACTCCAGAGGGCCAGCTTTAATCTGCCACAGGGAAGCAGAGCAGATAGCTTTAGGAAGCATTGAGGGCTCCCCACACCCCGCGGCTGGTCGACAGTCTGGCCCTAGACTTCATGGATATAAAACATGTCTTGGGCCCTTTGTAAAGGGGAAAGGGGTCTTTCTCTCCCTTGTCTCCTACTGGCTCTTTATCCACCTCCAAACTTTACAAAACTTGGCTTTTATGTTTGCAAAGAGGGCACTGAAGGGCATCTCCTGCTTGGAGGACCCGGGCATAGGAGATGCGGACACCAGATTTGGGGTTGGGAAGGCATGCACCCCACAGCCAGACTGGCTCTGCCTCCCTCTGTAATGAGGACCATGTTCCTCTTCCGAGGATCTTCTGGGCATCTGCTTTCCTGGTGGCAGGGCACTTTCCCCCTGCTTTCGAGCTGCGGCGCTCTGCACGGTGGTTTGGGTTTGTAAGATGCATGTGGCTGTGATGGGTAAGGGATTGAAGTGAGCAATTTTTTAGGCCTCTGGCTAAAAGACTGCCTGCAAAGGCGGAGGACAGGACTCGATGGCCTTGGGAGCCCCTTCCAGGTCTCTGTGGCCAAGATGCAGCCCAGCGAGCAACACAGCAGGAAAGCACTGCTTGCATGTGAGGCCCTGGAAAGTTTGGAGAAATAGAGATTTCATGAAGCACATGGTCCTAGCATGGAAATCAGAAGGGATGCAGGCTCCTCTCATGCTGGCTTTGTTGTATCCTTGGAGGACAACAGCCCATGGCTCATGGGACTATGGCTGGTCCAACGAGACAGAGTGAGAGCACCCAGAGCGGGGGTCCATCCCCTGCCTCCGCCAACCCAGCTGGCTCACCTTGATGTAGTCGTAAGGGCAGGAGACCTCGGGATGGTCCTCGATGTCGATGCTGTCCTCGAACTGCAGGGTGATGAAGAAGCCATCCTCCAGCTCGACACGGTACAGGCAGTCGGAGCTCTTGGGGTACGGGTTGGGAAAGTCGGCGCTGGTGATCACCCCGCTCCTCTGGGTGAAGAGGTTGTCGCTGCACTCCACTGCAACACGGCCGGCGCGGTCAGGGTCCAGCCGGACCTCGCACATGGTTTAAAGCCCTCCTCGGCTGGCACTTGCCCTGAGAAGGAGCCTCCTGTTCCCAGCCCTTTGCTATCTCACCCCAGAGCATCCTAGACTCAATCTGCCACCATGTCCAGGCAGTTCTGATGCCCCCCACCCCCCCATGGTAGCATGCATCAGAAGTGGCGCTGATGACATCATGCTGATGTCATACCCCTGGGAGCCACCTGAAACCACTGCAACCAGTACAGCCTTCTTCCCACCTCCATCATTTACAGTGCAATGAATGGTCCCTGGGCTCTCAGGTCCCAGGCAGGCGGGCTCGGAGAGGAAGCAGGCCCACATTGCCCTACAGCCTGTACCTTTGCAGGTGCGGTTGTCAGAGTGCAGGATGTAGCCGAAGCGGCAGGAGCAGTAGTACCCCCCGATGTAATTGTGGCAGTAGTGGTCACAGGCCAGCTCCTCATCGCTCTTCTCCAGGCACTCGTCCACATCTGCGAGGAGGAACCGGGGTCAGAGCATTTGCATCCTGATCTCATGCCTAGGCCATCAAACGCCAAAGCCGAAATGCTGCGCCTGGCCACCTGGCAATGCCGTCTGGTTTGTGAGGGGCATGGGGAGGCCGGCCTGCTAGGGGAATCAGCGCTCTACCGAGGGGAGGCAGGTTGCAGGACCGGAGACCCTTGCATTCCCTGCCATCCCGCAGACGTTGTGCATGTGCTGTAGCAGCAGGCCCCTTCCACTCACAGTCCCTTGGGCAAACCCTACTAGGGAAAGTCAACGGTTAGGAAAGCACGTGAGCGTGTTTGCAATTGTCTGCCATGCAACGGGGGTGGGGACGTGCCACGCGTGACCTGCCAGCTCTCTGCAGGACACTGGAAAGGGGAGCAGAAATGAGAGCCTGCTGCTATACGCCCAAACCCTGCAGCACTGGGAACGAAGCATCCCGCTGCTCTGAAAATGGCCCCAGGTAACAAGCCTGCATTTGCAGTTCTCCAGCATACCCTGCCTCTGGTCATGCTCAGTGTCTCCAGTGATGATTGCTGTATTGAGTATTTGCATCACTGACCTCTAGAAATGCAACTGGCCTGGGCAACCAGTCTGCTGTAGACCCTGTACTGCTTACCTCTGAGACAGCTCCTCTTTTAGCTCAGGGAAAAGAAGCCTGCTTTTTTTAGAGTCTTTTCCTTTGGTCTCCCCTGTGCTCTGGAGGGCTGAGAGGTCACGGCCCAGCTTGGGCTGCGAGGTCTGCACGTTTGCTGCTACACGGTACTTACCCACCGCTGTGTAATGGGCCTCGAAGCCCGTGAAGCGTTCCTCGTTGGAGAAGTCGGATCTGAACGTGAGCCCCATGTAGGAGCCAGGGGACAGGATGGCTTGCTGCCCAGGGGCTTGCTCCGTGTCGGTCGTCTCCCGGCCACAGAAAGTTGCCAGGACTTGGTCTTCAGCCTCGATCTGTTGAAACCATAGAGAGAAGCCTTTAACGTCAACCACAGCAAGAGGACTGAAGGACTGCGGAGGAATGGCTGCAAAGCAGCTGAGTCAGCTCGCATGGGGCAAAGCATTCCTCCATCGCACCGAATTAAGGGCTCAGGCCACCAGAACCACGGACGAGTCACTTCATGTGGTTTGGAAGAGCTTTCCCGGTGAGGTCATTTGGGCCAGCCTCCTGCATCGTGGCAAGGTAGAGTCTACCCTTTCCAAAACCACCACTCCTTCAATCGCTTTTAAGTTTAGGAGGGACCACCATGAAGCGCTAGTCTAATGCAAGCCACAGCCCTTTGCCTAGTAATTTGGGTGCTGGAGGGAACCCGTCCACTCGCTTGCATAAGTGAATGCAGCTGAGGCCCCAGCCTGGAAGTGGACACTTAAGAAGCTGCCTCTGAGGGATAATGATCAAACTAGCTTTGAAGGCTTCCCAAGCTGGCAGCTCTGCAACTGGTAGCATGCCCCATTGCCCAGCATGATCCTGGAGCTGCGACTTGGGCACAGAGACAAGCCCCATCCATCATGTGGCTACTTGAATTGTTCCAACGGGTTGTCGTAATTATTGGTGCTTAGGAACCACTTAGGACAGACTCTGTGTCTCTCAGCAGGAGGAAAAATAGTTTCCAGAGGGTTATTTTCATTTTCTTGCCTTAAACCTCCCCCTGGTATTTTAGTGGAGGGAGATCCGGTGATCAGGACATGAACATCTGGAGAAGTTGCCATCAATGCCTGCTCACCTGCTGAGAAATAGAGGGTGATGGCTGCTCTTCAGGGTTCATAGACTTCATAGATTTCATAGACATTAGGGCTGGAAGGGACCTTGGAAGATCATCGAGTCCAGCCCCCTGCCCCAAGGGTAGGAAGTCAGCTGGGGTCATAGGATCCCAGCAAGATAAAAAGAAGTGGTCCCTCAAGCTGCTCCCCTAGGCAGCCACGCTCTGGAGCTGAAGGCTTTGCACCTTCTTTCCTGGTGTCACCGTGGCTTTATGGGCGGTTGTACCATCACCGCCGCTTGTAGACATCTGCATCTTCGCCTGGAGCTGCGGGCATTGGGTTGTCTCACCCGCACTGCTATATAGAGCGATCCATTCCTCCAACTTTGGGATGCAATGTTGGGGATGGGCTTCACTTGCTGTATGTTCGCACCCCCAGGTGGAAATTGGTGTGTGTGTATTTGTATGCACTGGGTGGGGGTGGTATTTCTGGACCTCTCAGGCTGTGGTTGCACATGACTGAGTAGCAGGACGGTCCCTGGGCACATAGGAGGCCTGCGCAGCAGGAATTTCTTCTCTTCCTCCCTTGTTTTTATCTTACTTTCTTCAGGCAAAAGCAAGCTGTGCAGCAGAGAGCAGTGCAACCCTTAGGCGAAGGGTGTAGGGACATCACTTACATGGAACCTATAAGGCGCATCTACACGAGACGCTTACTGCGCATTAGCCTAATTACACTGCACAGTAGCATATCATGGCAAAAACCGAGCTAATAGCCTACTGCACAGTGTTATTAGGCTAATGCACAGTAAGCATCATGAAAAAAACCATTCGGTAACTTCAGGCACCACGCATTTAGTTAGTCCTTTAATAAGGAAGTAGTACACAAAGCACCCAGTATCTAAGGTGTATTAATGAACGTGTGTAGATGTGCCCATAGAGGAAGAAGTGAGCTGCTTTGGTTCTCCTGTGGAGGAGAGACTGTGAAGGTCACAGCCAGTTGATAGCAGACCAGTTTGCCCCTGAAATGTTCCCTCGCTGCCTCCTGCCATAGTGCGGGCACCTGCTGAGTCTCTGCTCTTTGTGCCAGGAGTGGATTCAGAACCGGGGGACTTTCAGTTCTGAGATTTCTGCAATACGATATCAAGGGAGCTCCAACCAGCAGAGTCAAGACCAGAAATCAGACTTGGTTAAATAAAAGGATTTCTCTTTGCTTGCTTTTTTTTATTTTTCCCATTTCATTGAGGAACTTTGGGAGTTTGTTTTTGGCGTTATGTTCCCTGCAGTGTCGGACCCCTGCAACGCGTTACAAACCTCATGCAATTTACTGGTTAATTGTGCAAGACATGCAGTGCAAAGTGAGACCGGCCACACGTGCAAAGTAGTTATCACACAGTTAACCGCTTAATTGTGCAATAAATTAAGTCTGGCTGCATGCGCAACGTAATGATCACGCCGTGAAAATCTCCATCCAGCTATAAAAAGAGCCAACCAGCTACAAATTGGGAGTGTCTACATGCGCATTAATGCCAGCTTAAATTTACTGCACAGTAAGTTACTGTGCAGTAAGCAGAAATAGGCCAGCGTCCACATGTGTGCATTAATGCTGTTTGCGGACTGACTTGGGACTAAAGTTAGCCCCAAGTCAGCCCACACACACATTGTTACTGTACAGTAAGGCATCTATATGTGCGTTACTGAGCAGTAACTAATCAGGCATAAATTTGATACCTGCATGATGCAGGTATCAAATTTACACTCAAATCAGTGTAAATCACCATATTTACTGCACAGTAAGGGTGTGCATGTGTAGATGTGTGCCTGTACTGCACAGTAATTTGGTTACTGTGTGACATGCCCAGTTAGTGCTTGAAAATGCATAATAACTTTATAGGTGGTTTCTGTCCAGCTTTACTTTGAACATGTGGCAGGGCCCTCAGAGACCCAAACACATGAGAACCAGAAAGTGATACCGAAGCAAAACAACCTGCCAGATTTTACAGCCTCAGCTGGGCACGGTCCAATTACCAAACAAACGGCACGGCAAACAAGGTTGAATACTGGAAATGAGATTAGCTACAAGGCTGAATACTGGAAATGAGATTAGCTACAAGGCCAGTGGATCTCAGTGTTTTTAGACTCAAGGCACACCTGGCTAGATTCAAGCCCCCTCCTCCATGGAAAATTTTTAACTCTTTTATGAAGTACAGGGTAGATACGCACGTAATAGGTGGCTGAATAAGATATATACTGAGCACAAACTTTTGTGAAGTTGAGTTCACCCCATCAGGTGCTCCAAGAGGACAGCACAGAGCCAGTCAGGCTAAGTACAGACAGTCAAAAAGCTCGAGGCTGAATTGATTCAATCTTTGCAGGTTAGTCTACACTGCAGAGATTGAACCAATTAGCAAATGAACAGACCTTCATTTTTGATTCAGGAAATGCAGCCACTTGCT